TCAGAGGAGCAGGAAAGCTGACGTTTCGCGTCTGGACCCTTCTTCAGGGTCCAAAACGTCAGCTTTCCTGCTCCTCTGATGCTGTTTGGCCTGCTGTGTTCATCCAGCTCGACACCTTGTTATCTCAGATTCTGCAGCATCGGCAGTTCCTACTATCTCTGAAATGATTACTTCACATGTATTTTTTGAATTTTTGTGCCGTTAAGAGAAAGGAAATGGAGGAATCAACTTTTCCACTGTAGACATGGGTAAGGCATTTTAAATTTTGGAAAATTTGTTGTGTTTTTATCAGTGTTTTGTTCTAGGAGCAATCTTTTCAGTATGTCTTAATGTTCCATTTTGTTCTAAAGCAGCTCAGCTGCAGACTCTCCAGTTTATTTTCTTTCGAAGAGAGAGGTAGAAAACTCACTGTGTTTCAGCACAGGCTTGTAGCCTTTAGTTTTGATTGCAGCAGTAGCTGGAGCTCTGAACTCTGACAGATTAATGGATGACTGTCAGGGAAAAACCTCTTAACAACTACCATGCTGTTATCATCTTTTCAGTCTTTAGCGTCTACTTACTGCCACTAAGTAGCTGTCAATATTAGTTTTTAATGCCAGCATGATACATGTTAGTCTGTACCACATAGCACAGTCAAGACTTTGTTGAGTCAGATCTCTTGATGTTTATTAACAACATTATATGGCTATAATATCAGAAGTATGGAGTCTGGGTTCTGTGCTTAATAGTGTTACTGTATACTACATACACATATCTGACTAGCTGAAGGTACTAAACAGACTTCACGTCATAGACTGAAGGTGAGGCAGGTTCCTTTTGACTGGAACATCACGTCATTTTGTATGCAGGCCACTTTGACATGGAATCTACACAATAACACAAGAATCTCTTCTTATCCTGGATCTGAGGTTCTTTAGTGTCACAGAACTTCAGATGAAAACTAGAATTTTGGATGCAGGGAGCTAAGAATTCCTTGGAAAAGCTGGGACTCCGAGTTGAGTTGAGTTGAGTTGGGAATATATCCTTGCTATCTGGCCAAGTGCTTTTAGAAAACACTTTACCTTGGCCATTCCAGACATGAGGAATTTTGAAATCTGTTTCACATCTGCTTTTGACTGTACACGCTGGCCATATTTTACTTGCTGGGCAGGCGCCTGTGCATTTCAGAAAACTCTAATTTTACACCCACTCCCAGGACTGTAACATGACTCATCACTATGGTTTAACCACTGCCAGAAAAAGATACGATACTTTATAAACAGCAAATTTAATCTTTTTGATTGGAGAGGTTCTTGAACACAATACAAACCCAGGCAGCTTTTTCCTACCAGAATTTGCAATCTTTCGGGTCTATAATTTCCTTGAAGTGCTTCAACAGAGTCTTCTAATGATGGTCTCTGCCAGTGCCACCATCACCAGTTTTAGCCAAAAATGCACTTCCCTGATAGGTTCCATCCTCAACTCTCTCCAATCCTCATTTAGGGCTTTTTCCATGACCTCACCTGCAAATAAAGGGGTTACCAGCCTACACTCCACATATCACCCTATTTAAGAGAGTGCATCCAGTGTCAAGTTACAAACAAACCAAGTTTGTTTTTAAAGCCTATCAGCAAGATCAACAGCATTTTCCTTGAGCTTCACATCCCTTTCTCAATCTATCCCAGTTCCTCACTAATATCCTGCTGTGTCTTGACCGGAGATTCAAACCTAAAGTCCAGTTCAACACCTATTTCTACCTTTCCATCTCTGACTCAAATCCAATTCTGAAAATTTGCATCATTCATGTTTTAATCACTTTCAACCATTTACAACAAGACACATCTTTTGTAACAAAGTCATAGAATCCCTAGTATGTGGAAGCACTGGAAAGCATCCCACACTGACTCAGCACCCTACCATATCCCTGTTACTCCACACCTACCATGGCAAATCACCTAACCTATACTCCCCTGTACACTATGGACAATTTAGCACGGTCAATCCACCCAACCTGCACATCTTTGGACTGTGGGAGGAAACCAGAGCACCCAGGAATAATCCCACACAGACACTGGGAGAATGTGCAAACTCCACAGGCACCCAAGGCTGGAATCGGATCCGGGTCCCTGGTGCTGTTAGGCAGCATTGTTAACCACTGTGCCACCCTAAAGTCATTTTGCAAAAAAATTCAAAATAGATTTTCGTTCAAACAGGAAGATGTTCCAAAAAAAAAAAGGGTTATCTGATTTCAAATGTTAACTTTCTCTCCTTACTGAGGCTGCCAGACCTGATATTTTCCAACTCTTCCTGTTCTTATTTCTCATTTTTGAACTAGGGCTTTTCAGGTTGGGGAAAAAGCAGGAAGTGTCATCGAAGTGCTAAGTTTTTGAAGATTCACAAAAATGTATTATAAGAATCACCACAAAGAAGCTGTAACTCACAAGTGACATGCCATTAAACCACTCACGGCCCACCTGTCAATATCCCTTCCTGTAATTCACCTAGAAGGTACTTAAAAACAAAACCCGAGAGAATGAAAATGGCAAATGGTGGTGAAATAAACATTCAGCACCTCAATTTTGCAGTCCCTCACATCGCTCCCTCCTTTTCCCCAGGTCTCATCAGCGATTTAGTTGGTAACATTCTTGCCTCCACGTCAGGAGGTCATGGGTCAAATTCAAGTTTAGAAACTCAATTATGTCCATTCAGATTGACATTCCAGTGTAGTGGGTTGCACTGTAAAGGTGATATGCCTGCCAACGTTTAAACAGGAGTCCTGTTAGGTCAATAAAAGATACATTATGGCATCATTCAAAGGGCAAAGGAGTTCTCATTGCTAGCCTGGCCAATATTTAACCTTCAGCCCAATACCTCTAACTGGCTGCAATCATTTTGTTATTTGTGGGAGCTTGCTTGGTTGCTGCATTTCTTCAAATGTACTTAATTAGGTGTAAAGTGCTTTGTGGTATATAAGACACTGTGTAAATTTGAGTTTTCTTTTCGCACATTCCCAGCTTGAAAGTGTCAAATCATGTCATATTGGTATTGTCTTCCTGCCAGTTCATTTAGTGATATCTCACCTTTTATTTCAGTTTCTCAACGGAACAAAAAGGGGGCTCCAGTTTATACCCCAGAACCTTCAACACTAATTAACTTCAATCTGTACCTAAATTAGTGAACAATCTCTCCTATTTGGTGACCACAAGATATAGTACAGAATCTGTGGAGAATCTATACCACGGATTCTCTAAACTTTAATCTCCTTAGGGAGATTAACTATAGGTGACCTTTTACTTATTCTTCTGTTATATCATCCTCCTCTCCCTCACATTAATATTTTACCACAGTTAACCATAATTCACTAACCCTTAGTTCAGTAACCAGAATTATTTAGTAAGCATTTTTCCCCAATTTCTACCACTTTCTGCCTCCCCCACTTTGAAAATCTGAAACCTGTTATTCATGGAACAAAATGGAGCCTCTGCAATTTTAAACATATGTATTTAATTCAGGAAATAAAATAAACTGATGCCAGTTACAATGTTAACACTAGCAAGACCTTTGACAAAGGCTCAGAGCAAAGTACATTTGCACAAAATGTGGAAGAGTTCAATCAGACCACAGTACACTGAAACTTCCCAATGGAAGACTTTTAAAAAAAAATAGAACACTATACCCATTTAACAAAATCACTGAAAAGTTTAACATACTCCATCGTACCCACTCATGGTTAATTCAATTGCCTGTACTAATCTCAAGAACAAATACTGCCATACAGTACAGCACATTTATAGGCACAATTACTTGTAAAAGATGGTGATTAGCTTTCCAAACAGTAAAAATATATTGATTGGACTCCTCTAGTTAGGGTATTGAGATTGTAGTGGGGGTTCTGGAGATGCAAACTTCACAAAAAACAGCAGTTTGAAAAATCTGCACTAAATTGTTCAGTCAGATTTTTCTTAAATTTTCTTCCACCATGCCAACAAGCATTTTTTGGGTTTTAGAAAACACATACAATTTCTGCAAAGAGAAAACAGACTTAAGTTGAGTTCAGTGGCCCTTCTTTAGATAGCTCTGAAGGGTCACTGAACAAAATATTATTCTCTTCACAGATGCTACCAGACCTGCTGAGTTTCTGCAGCAATTTGTTTCAGATCCCCAGCATCTACAGTTGTTTTATACATTATTTCTGATCAAGACAAAACGCTTTTTAGAAGGAAATGCTTAGAATGCAAGACTGATCCAACGGGTGTTGGGACACCTGCACTGATCAAATTCCAGTGAATAAGGAGCTGCCAAAGATGCAATACACCTCAACAGCACAGTCTACCCCCTTCACTATCCAACTGCTTGCATTACGATCCAAAGGAATGGTGCTTACAAATGAAGCTGTCACATGTAGCTGCTACTTCCCATTCCATCTAAAGGGCTATCATTGACATGAAAAGCAAGTTTTGCTTCAACTCAATAGTTTTTACATAGAAAAACCCTGCAATATCTTCAAATATGGAAACACATCCACCACCCTGTATGGCTCTCACCAACTGTCACCTCATTTATACATCGTGCTATTAAGGCGTAAGAAATGGGGCAACTGGCAGAGGGCATCTGACATACATGCAAATGAATTAAAACAGCATCATTCACCAGACTGATCAAGACCAAACATTAAATGTGGATTACTTAATGAATCAAAATGGAAGACTACTCCGTTCAAGCATGCTTCCCCATTCAATTATGTCATAGCTGATCTGTAAATGAAGTTCATTTACCCATCATTTCATCAGATACCCTGACACAAAGGAAACCTAGCAATCTTATTCTCAAATTTTAAACTGTTTATGGCATTCTCAAGAAGAATTCTCGATATCTACCAGCCCATGGAAGTAGTAGTTTACTTCCTGGACAACAATTATTTTAGTATTATGGATATACTCCCTTTATTTCAATATCCCCAATGGATCAAATAGTTTTTGTATTTACACAATCAAATCCATGATCATTTGAAAAATTCCAATTCCATCACCATAGAACCTTGTAAACAAGAATACAATCAACTTTTTTGGAAAGCTGAGAAAAATCAGAATACAGATTCTCTGCAGAGTTTTGTATTGGACAGCTGAATTTATAAATCACGGATTTTAAAAAAGTCAGGATGCATCAGCACGTGCTATTTTAGGAATGGTGCAGAATTAGGGTGAAAAATTAAGATTTAAAGAATTTATACATATTCAGGTGTTCACCTACTGTATTTGGTTTTACCCAATGATTTTACAATGATATGAAACAGGAAAGGATGCCCCAAGACATGTAACTTTTAAATTATTTTAATACAAACTTTTATCAATATAAACTTAGTCCCTCTTAACAGGTAAGACACAGACTCAAAATACTTTGTTATACTGTTTTTATCAAGTATTGCACAAGGTAGGTACAAAATTAATATTTACGATTACATTTGTCCATAATATATAGCAAAAAAAATTATTTTTACTTTTTTAAACTCTTAACAGAAAATACAACTCTCATGTTTTTCCAAAAAAAGCTGAAATTTCTACACTTTAAACACCATCACTAAGGAATATCCTGTACACAATCTTTTTAAGAGTAGTTTGATGCCTGAATATGGATTTCTTTTTTTTACAACGATTTGTAAAAAAAAATAGAATGCAAGCTATTGCAGCCATCACAGATCACTGTAGTAAAAAGATATAAATGCAATACCGTGTTGTAGAAACAATATATACTCTGATATTTTACAAACTTCATACTAAATTAAATTATACAATTACAAAAGACCAGAAATCCCACTTTTATTAGTGCCAATTGTTAAATCAGCCCATGTCCTGTCCAAGTGTAAATACTGTTTGAGGAGGTTGTCTCCACAACTTTTTTTATTTTTAAAAAGGTACACAGTCCATATAAAATCATTTTTGTGCTTGGTTGGCAAAAACAAAAAACTTTTATGCTTAAATAACCAAGCGCCAAAACTACAAGCTTATTTCCCCCATTTCAAAACCATTCATAAAAAAGAAAAAAGTTCTCAAGGGAGTTAAGGGGGGAAAAAACACCCTTGGGTTCAGTTAAGTTTAAACTTTTACAATTAGGACTTAATATTTATATGTATAGAATTTTCTTCCCCTTTTTAATTAGCCATGACAGGTTGGAACTGCTGGTTAGAATACTGCATGTTACTGAGGCTGAAATTCAGACCATCGACAAAGGATTTTTCATTGAGGCCTCCATAGGCAAACATGTCAAAGGCATTACCATACTGGAGAGGGCTGAGGTTTAGGGGACTGTCCCCTGGGAACATTGCACTGGTACCACCCTGCCCCTGGATGCCAGGGAAAACAAACTCCTTGGCATTGGGAGAAAGGGCTGAAGTCTTCTGTTGCTGCTGGTTGCCCACACCAAGCCCATAGAGAGTGTGCATGGATGTTGACATGGTTTTCTGCTTCAGCAGGTTATTCATGTTCAAGCCAAGGTTAGTGGGGGATGCGCGAGCGACCTTACTGCGGCCACTGCTCTTCATTTTGGTCGAGCCGAACTTTGTAGCAGCAAAAGTGGCAGTGGTGAATGTTAAAGGCTGGGCGGAACGAGGCATGAAAGTGGGGCTCACGGCAGCAGAGTGACCAAATGGGGGGGATGGGGAGCTGGATACAGATGAGCCCCCAGCTGGGTCACAAATGGGCATAAAGACCTGAGCCTCAGGGTTGAAGCTGTTTTTGATTTCTTTGTCCAGATCAGTCCCAGTATCATTGTTATCATCCACATATAGCACCTTGACAGGCCCTTTCTCTCCAATCTGATACGACACCTCGAAGGGATCTATCCAGACACTCAAGTCCTCAGGCAGGTTGTCACGAACATCCTTCATGTCTAGTCCACTCTCTTTGGCAGCTTGCTCGATGACAGGATCAATGGCTTCCCCTACATGTATACACCTGTACCCAGATCCTCTGTATGGCTTGTCCGGATACCAGTGCCCTTCATATTTCTTCTTCAGCAGCTGTTCTAATTCTTCTCCAAAAATGTTAACTCGTCGCCTTGGGAGTTTATTGTACAAATATGAGATGATAAAATTAAGCGCTACTTGGATTTCAAGCTGCATAGCTGCTGAATCACCAGAATGAGTTGTAAACTCTGCGTTGCAAACCAAAAGAAAATATATAATATATATTAACTCCTGAAGGAAGTGTTTAGATCACCTCAGATAGAAGCCTCAGGTTTCTTAAAAAGTGCTGGTTAAGGTGGAATTTCTGTTTTCCTCAAGTGAGTACTGTTGTTTGTTCCTTGAAAGGAGGAAAACAAGAAGGTATAAGAAAAATGGCAACATTTCAAGTGTTATTTCAATGTCACTTTCATTCTCATATTAGAAATTTTGAATTGTTTGTGCTTTGCGGTTTTATCTCAAGTAGCTCCTCACATTAAACATTAATTTAAAGAGATTTATAACCACTGAAAAGGACCCAATGTTCTTGCATCACATTCTTTTAAAGCAACACTACTGAAAGTTACAAATCAACGAGATGACTTTTAAAAGGAATCAACCTTCAAAATAAATCAAATACCTACATCACAGATTGGGCAACTGAGCCAACTGTTCATTAGAATTCATAATACAGATCTGAAGGTAGCAATCTGCAGAGTTGGCACCATTGCTCAGGAATAAATAAGATCCTCAAAACAACCATGAAATCCAAAGTGGGGGGAAATGGGGGTTTCTTTGAACAAATAGAACAACTTTAAACACGACATGACGAGAGATTATATTTGGAAAATCTCAGCTTCTTTTCAGCTCCAGGTCCCACAGTGACGTCAAACTCGTGATTGTGAAGTGCACATAATGAATGAACGTCACTGACTGCAAATACCAGGCAGAATGCAAATGACCTGATTAACTGTAGCCATGCCAGAAATACGAGCAGTACTCGCGTCAATACTGAGTAGGCCCCAAACGCAGTATTTACAGTATCAAATAAAGAGGTTTCAAGTAGTAGGGAGGGGGCAGACACCCTTTAAAACTATGCATTAAAATCAGGCACTGTGCCAGCTTTACACAGGTTCTTTAAGTGGCACACGCAGCAGGGAGCTGAATTTCTAACCCTTCCGTTCCAACTAGTCAGAGCGATTACATCCTTCAAATGCAAGGGAAATAAAGATAATTAATTGCCAGGAAGGGAGAGCAAGCTTACAGGGCATTTGTCAGGGATTGGGGCAAAAAACCAAATTAAGCATTGTTCCATTTTAACGAAGGCTGCTCGGTCTACTGGAAGATGAAAGACTGTTCCTTCTGGAGAGAGAGTTTGTGACTGCATAAGCGTTTTTTGCTGGGGGGGGTGGTGCATGTCAGGGGCAGGGATAGAATGGAGCTGGGGGGAGGAGCTTGCCAGGGTAAAGGGGTGGGGAAGAAAAACAGCTCAGCAGGTAAATCAGGGAGAAGATGAAAAATAGGGGTGGAGAATTCCACCACGGCAAGGGTATGGGGACACAGCTGTTTTGAAAGGATGGATGGGCAGTGACCAGGCAGATACCTGAAAAAGTGGATGGTGATCTGAGGGACTGGGCAAATGGATGGGATGTACATGGAGGTGAGAGAAGGAAGAGTTGAAGGACTCGGGGTGGGGGGAGAGAGAAGAAAGGACAGAGGTGGTGCAGTAGGGGAGGGCCTTGAGGTCAGGGGTGGGGGAAGGGAATGAAGCAGGAAGAGTGGGGAGAGCTATGCGGTGGGGGGACTTGATCCGTAGATAAAGGT